CAGCACATAATAATCTATCCACTAAACTTACAGAAGAAGAATATTGAAAACTTCAAGGGAAAAAGATCAAGTAATGATATATAAAGGCAGACTAATTAGAATAATACCTGACTTTTCAAGGGACATGTCAAAATCCAGAAGGCCTACAAATGTTCTATAGACTCTAAGAGACTGAAGATGCCAGCCCAGATTACATCATGATCATGATAAATGGACAAAGACACTCCATGATAAGATCAAATTTAAGAAGTATATCTACAAATCCAGCTCTACAGAAGGCACTTAGAATAGAATAACCATATGTAAGAAAACACAAGGAATGAATAATCTTAGACCAGCATATTAAAAAAGGGAGAAAAAAATCCACTCCTCAGCAACAAGAGTAACAAAAATCAATATTCACTGCTGATTGATGACTCTATATTAATGATATCAATTTCTGAATAAAAATACAAACTAACAGAAATGAAAGTATACCTTAGCAAAAAAAAAACTAAAAAAGTACAGCTTAGCATCAAGGATAGATGTCACCTGAAGGGAAAATATAACCCAAGTAAATGAGTGCAAGAAACAAAGCAGTGTAGCAGCTTAATATATGGTTTAAAAAAAAAGACTTCAAACCAAAATTAATAAGAGATAGAGATTGGGTGGTGGTAGCCCATGCCTTTGATCCCAGCACTTGGGAGGCAGAGGCAGAAGGATCTCTGTGAGTTCAAGGTCAGCCTGGTCTAACAAGAGTAGTTCCAGGACAGCCTCCAAAACCACAGAGAAATTCTGTCTTGGGAGAGAGAGAGAGAGAGAGAGAGAGAGAGAGAGAGAGAGAGAGAGAGAGAGCATGCACTCATTAAAGGGAAATTCTTCCAAGACAATGTTGTAATTCTTAACATCTTTGCACCTCTAACACAAAGTCACCTAAGGTTATAGAAGAAACACTATTGCAGCTTAAATCACATATTGATCCTCTAACACTGACAGTGGGAGACCTTAATAAACCAATCCCACTGATAAGCAAGCCATCCATACAAAAATTAAGAGAAATACTGGGGCTAACATTGTGAATCCTACTATGTGTGTCATGAATCCTACTATGTGTGGCATGAATAATAAATGGTCCAGAGACAGATACTGGGGTTCAAGCTTCAAGCTGAAGATCACAGAAGCAAGTCAGCCAAGCCAGTAGATTTAATGTCTACCTCAGGCTGAAATAGCAATCTTGTTTCCAGGAATCCTCAGAGGGAAAAAGCACTGAATTCCTCTCTCCTCCCCCTTTTACTCCTGTTTTCCTCCCAGTTAAGTCATTTCTGTCTCCACCTCCCTAGTGCTGGGAGATTAAAGGGGTGTGATATGAAGTGCTGCGATCAAAGGCATTGGCTCTGTTACTCTTTTAGACTGATTCAATATCATGTATCTCTGGACGGCCTAGAACTCAAGAAGATCTGTTTAACTTTGTATGCTGGCTGTCCTGCTTCTATGGCAAACTAGTATGGATTCTTTGCTATTTTGGTCTGCAGGGGCTTTAATAACTCATAAACAATATATCACCACAACTATGGATATAAACAACAGAATGATTACAAACTCATGGAAACTGAACATCTCACACCTGAGTGAAAAAGTGGTCAAGATAGAAATTAAGAAACAAAAGAAAAAAAGATAAATAACATACCCAAACTTGAGGGACACAATAAGGGTACTTCAGAAAACAAGCTCATAGCACTGTGTCTATATTATATAGTCTGGAAAAATCTTACACTAGAAACTTAATGTCATACCTCAAAGCTCTAGAACACAAAGAAGAAGCCATACCCAAAAGCAGTTGATAGCAAGAAATAAATTTGTAGCTGAAATGAATAAGATAAAAACAAATAAACAATATAAATATAAAATCAATAAAATGAAGATATAACTATAAACACTGAGGATATCCACTGAATCATAAGGACATCCTCTAAATTCCTAAATTTAAAAAATTAGAGATGAAAATTAAAATGGAGACATAACTATAGACACTTTGGAAACCCAATGAATCATAGGGACATCCTCTAAAGTCCTGTACTCTACCAAATTGAGAATTTAAAAGAAATGAAAATTTTCTTGATACAAACCACCTACCAAAGTTAAATCAATATCAGATAAGCAATTTAAATAGACTCATAACCTCCAGGAATAATTAAAATCTATCAAACAAGAATATTCCAGGGCTAGATGATTTTAGGGCAACGTCTACCAGACTTTCATAGATGGATTAATGTCAGTACTCCTCAAATATTGCCCAAATTGTTTTTGAGGTCACAGTTACCCTGATCACTAAATTTCATAAAGTCCCAGAAAAGTAGAGAATTATAGAGCAATTTCTCTGATAAATATAGCTATAAAAATTCCCAATAAATTATTTTTTAAAAAATAAGCTGAATCCAATAACATGTCAAAAAGTGTCAACCAGTACACTACCCTTCATGTCTTTCCCTGCCATTTCTTCAAAACATTAATTGTAATATTATATAAGATCCACAACAGTCACAAATCTCAACATCTTGAACTAGGCAACACCAGAAATAGAAAATAGGTTATGTCTTCTTACATTAATGCCCACCTTTCAAACAGCCTACATTAGGGTTGTCTAGAGACAGTGTAAATATTATAGCTCTGAAGGGAATAATCCTGACTTATCAGGAAGTCATGTGATACATGGAGCTGTGAAGAGAAGGCCCTGTGTTGATCCTACCTATCTAAGAGCATGGAAGATCTTTCCATTTTCTGGTATCTTATTTCTTTCTTTAAAGACAAAAAGTTCTTGCTATATAGGTCTTTCACTTATTTGGTTAGCATTACTCCATGATATTTTATGTTGTTTGTGGTTATTGTAAAGGGTGATGTTTCTCTGATTTCTTTCTCAGCCCCTTTATCATCTGTATATAGTAGGGCTACTGACTTTTTTTTTAAGTTAATCTTGTACCCTGCCACTTTGCTGTAGGTGTTTATCAGCTGTAGAAGTTCCCTGGTAGAGTTTTTGTTTGTTTGTTTGTTTGTTTTTGTTTGTTTTTGGGGGGTCACTTATGTAAACTATCATAGCATCAACAAATAGTGAAAGTTTGATTTCTTCCTTTTCACTTTGTATCCCTTTGATTTCCTTTTGTTTTCTTATTGCTCTAGCTAGAACTTCAAGTACAATATTGAAGAGATATGGAGTGGGCAGCCTTGTCTTGTTCCTGATTTTAGAAGAATCACATTAAGTTTCTCTTCATTTAGTTTGATGTTGGCTGTTGGTTTATTGCATATTTCTTTTACTATATTTAGGTATGTTCTTGTTATCCCTGATCTTTCCAAGAGTTTTTCATGAAGGGGTGTTGGATTTTGACAAAGGCTTTGTCAGTATTTAGTGAGATGATCATATAGGGTATTTTTTTTTCATTTTCAGTTTGTTTATATGGTGGATTACATTGATAGATTTTCATATGTTCAAACACCCCAGCATCACTGGGATGAAGCTTACTTGGTCATGGTGGATGGTTTCTCTGATGTTTTCTTGGATTCGATTTGCCAGTATTTTATTGACTATTTTTGCATCAATGTTTCTGAGGGATATTGGTTTGTACTTCTCTTTCTTAGTTGTGTCTTTGTGTAGTTTGGGTACCAAGGTAATTGTAGCGTGGTAACAAAGAGTTTGGCAATGACCCTTCTGCTTCTATTGTATGGAACAATTAGAGTAGTATTGGTATTAGCTGTTCTTTAAATTTCTGGTAGAATTCTGTACTGAATCCATCTGGCTCTGAGCTGTTTTTGGTTGGGAGACTATTGATGACTTCTTCTATTTCAATAGGGGTTATAGGTCTATTTAAATTACTTATCTATTCTTGATTTAATTTTGGAAAGGGATATCTATCCAGAAAATTATCCATTTCCTTTAAATTTTTGAATTTTGTGGAGTACAGCTTTTCAACATATGACCTGGAGATTTTTTGGATTTCCTTAGTGTCTGTTGTTATAAGGGAAAAATTTCCTGACTCCTTGGAAAATCAGGAGATACCTGAAGCACAGGTGTGTGTGAATGGGTGATCTACCCACAATCCTGCTCCTCTCCAAGAGAAAACTGGTATAGCTGATCTCGGCTCTCCTCTCGTAAGTGAACATCCTTGTAGAACTACCCTACACAAAGAAACCATACAAGTGGTGGTGAAATTTCAAGTGTCTGTAGTGGGGAAGGAGGGGTGGAATCAGTTCACATAGTTGCACTGCTAAGTCCAAATTGTAGGTGGGACGGTTGGAGAAGCAAAGAAGAACTGGTAAGGCTTTACTCTGAATGCAGAATTCCATCTCCTTTAGAGAAAATTATTTATTCTTAAAGACATATGTTTAAGGCCCACCCACATTGTCCAGAATAATAAGCTTTACTCAGATCTTAGTGATGAAACTATTATTCTCATCAAAAATGGCCTCTCAGAAACATCTTTAATAATGTCTGAGCACTGCAGACTGGCCAAACTGGCACATGAAATCTATAAACTCATGGATCATCCCACCTAAGACTCTGAGGTCTCTTTTTAAAAACATACTGGCACTAAAACAAATATTGCAGCCACTTTATTTTAGATCTTACTTTTCCCCCTTTTCATTAACTTTAGAAGTTTCCATTTACAGGAACTGTAGAAGCTGCCATTATTCAGTGTAAAAAAAAAATAACAGATAAAAGCACTGCAATTTTAAACTTAATGGATGATGCTGTAATGACATGGTCATAGAGAATATACATTTTGACATAAGTATCAAATATAATTAAATAAGTAATATTAATTAGCTTAAACACAGTAAGTTCATTGACATAAATTTACCCATTAACAGTATCATCTGTAATATAGATGAGAGTTTGAAATATAATATGGCATCTTGGGTGAAAAGGACCATAAGCTTTTAACATCACTAATGCTTATTAGTTTTCAAACATCACGATACTAATAATCTCCAACACCTGGAAAAGTTAATCATTCAGTTGTTTGGTTTATTCTAGGTACAAAATGGAGAAGCAATGAACTGCTACACATTCTTCGTCCATGGTAATGTAATGACATGTTGCCTTTCAAGAAAATCTTCCTCTTCCTCATCAGTACTATAATCACCAAGTGATAGCAAAGACTGCATTTCAGTATTTCTTCCAGAAGAGCTGAAAATACATTAGAAGATCAATACACATCATATGGCAGCAAGTTTCCTCTTTCATTTGTCTTATGATCAATATTGTATATATTGTAGTCATTAGAAGCAGGCTGAATGGGGAAGTAAATTTTCATGCACCTAAGATATACTAAGTCTCCTCAACATGGAAAGGTCTCATCATCTTTCTTCTCCCAAGAAACAAAGCTACAATTGTACCAAAGGAGAGGATATTTATGGGCTCAAGTAGTGTCTTTCCCTGATGATTTAGAAGGTAATTCTAAAACCTGCAGAGCCTCAGGGTCATCGTTAAGAACATTCATCATGTGTTGGCTGCTTAAAAGAATCCCAATTAATAGACATTCAGATAAATCACTCCTTTGTGTATAGTAAATTAGGACTATATGGATAGTCACTCAAATAAACCAAAGCTAAAATTCAATGACACTAATTACTTGCCTGGTTTTTGTTCTTGTTTGTTTTGTTTGTTTGATTGTTTACTTTTTTATCTGCAGGGGTGTGTGAACTGCCCAAAGCTCTAAAAATGGATGTCTGCTATTTAGAAATAAACATTCCTGGGGAGAACAGAATTATCTGTATCATTCAGATAATTTGGTCCAAAGTTACCAAGATTTCCAGCTCATGTAAGCCAGTAAATATGAAAATGTTTACACTGTGATAGACAATATACCTTTACAAATTATTTTATCAAATCCACAGCAGGCTAAATCAGCAATGCATGAACTCATCTGAGAAAAAGTTGGGAAGAAAATTTAAGGGCCATGTGGTTATTGAGCAACCCTTTTAGTTGTAAATCCTGCTTTATGTCATACATCCCTCTATATTTTTTGTATTAAATTATTCTATGAAAAGACAGTGAGGACAAATATATATTTAGTTCATTTTTAACAACATTTTAGGGGGAAATAGTACTTTCATTATTTTTTTGAATTATTGTATGTATTGAAATGTAAAACATTCAATAGCTTAGGCAAAGGTTTTCACTTTCAGAAAGACTGAGTTACAAACTCTTAATTCCCTTTGAGTTGAGCATTAAGCTTCAAGCCAATACTAGGGAATATAATTAGAGAGACTTTTACTTGAATTTACTTTCTTACTTCAAAAGGTGGGAAACTCCTTTAAAACTGCCAGGATCACCAATAGACAAATCCATTACTTTGTTGAACACATGTCAATTTGACCTCTGTATCTCTTAAAGTGACCCCTATTTGCAAAGCAGAGTAAAATTGTGCAAACTAAAATGCTGGTAAATGTCCAGAATCAATTTTAAGGGGAAAATCTTTTCAGTAATCTAATCTTTAATTTTTATGTTGGGTAAGATTCTATTGAAATGTATCATATTAACTAATTCAAATAAGACATTCAGCATTATACCGGAGAACTATTATTTCCTCTGTTCCCTTTTAATGACATGTCTTCAAATTAAAGTAAAAAATTCTACAAGCTTTTTATTAAATCACAATACCAGGTCAGCAAAAGATCCAAACATTGTACCAAACTAAACATGGTCACAAATTTCACACAAGTGAGCAAGTTTTCTTATACAATGAAGAAAACTGATTGGAACTCATCTTATTTTTCTATATGCCACCTTTCTTTGGGAAGCTGTATGTTCTACTTACCTGATCTCTATTTCACTGGGATCACTATCACAAGACACCTCAAGGAGATCTTCAGACATCTGACTGACATTCAAAGAATGGTGGGTGAAGGCCTGTAACTCTTCTGAGGATAGACTCTGAAGTTTTTCTGAAGGCTCTGAAACATGTTATTCCATATATCACTAGCACATAAATTCAAGAAACATTGGAGCATCATATGGTGCTGGAGTTTACAAGAATGAATGACAAGCAACATAAAGATGGTCAACACAGATATGTCAACACCCAAAAATTTCTTAATGATTGCTGCATGGTGAAGTATGGTCTGAGACTGCAGGGAGCACAGGATGAGTACAGGGCTTAGTTAACATGTGCAAAGACCTGGGTCCAATAATTAGCACTAAAAGGAAAGAAGAGAAAAAAGAAAGAGGGAAAAAAGGGAAATAAACAAAGGCATGGTGTCAAATCACCCCTAATCATACTTATTTTTGCAATGTACATGCTACTTGTGAAAGATGTCAAATATCCTGACAATCCACAAAATTCCAAATGAAGTAATTCTCTGTAACATTAGATAATTATGCAGTTCTTCAATGTGTCTGCACATTAGATACTTTATTAATTGTGTGCCTGTTTGTTCTGCATTAATCTTTCTTTCCTGGCTTCTTCGCTTAGGGAAAAATAATTCTTTGTATTTGAATAAAGAAGATGGGCAGGTAAGCCTTAAGTCTTCTCCCTTTTCATACTTCTGTCTTATGGTATGAAAGCCTAGGTGTAGTGCTTAAAAATAAATGAATAATAAATAAACAAACAAAACAAAAATCATGATGGTTAGACAAATTTATCTTTATACAAACTACTCTAATTCAAAGTATGGAAATAAATATTCCTTATGAGAGCTCTCAATGTATTCTTTATGACATTGATTCAACTTTCTTTTTTTTTAATACAGTGTCTACGTAGTCTAAGTTTGCTCAATATTCAGTAAAGAATTACTTAGAACTTCACAAGCCCGTGAGTTACCATGTTCTGTTTATGAGGTACTACAGTTAGAATCCAGAGTTTTAAGTATGTTGTCACTCTGTTGTAGTGATATTTATGATTTATTAAAGCTTAACTTGGGGTTCAGAAAAGCAAAGTCAGTCACAAGCCAAAGAAGCCTGGCACACATCTTTAATTCCAGCAGCAAAAAGCTAGGAGGTGGTGGTACACGCCTTTAATACTTGGCCTCGGGATTAAGATATATACAGATCTATGTGAATCTTCCCAGATCTACACAAGAATGAATCAGTCTAAAAAAGAATTATAGCTCACACTTTTATTCCCAACACTAGGGAAGTATATAAGAGAGAAGCAAGGTCTTAGGGAGGCATTCATTCTCTAGTCACATTGAGGAAATGTTACAGTCTGAAGCTTGGTGAGAGCTCATAGAGACAGGACCAGCCCATTTATCCTGAGGAAGAGGTAAGAAGCTAGTGGCCAGCTGCTTTGCTTTTCTGATATTCAGCTTGAAGCTTGAACCACAATAACAGTCTCTGGGTCATGTATTAATTTGTGTAACACTCTACCAATGGAACTAAATCCCCAATACATTAAACCCATTAAGCCTTCTAAGTTATGGTAACATAGTATGATGACTACTTAGGCTATCATCCTCACTGGGTGCTATTCTCTTTCCTTCTACAAACATATAAAATAGTTAACTTCTTATTTGGAAGGAATAAACACTAAAAACACAGTACTCGCACACTAAACTTAAAAATATTTAGTTTTTCATAGTTAATAGTAACTTTCAGATCATGAGCAAGTATACACTGAAATTAATTACATTGTTCCCAATGAAAGACCTCAATATATTTACAGATTGAAACTTCCTTAAAATTATTTAGCTCGGTCATTTTCAAATTATGATATATTTAGATAATTTAAGTTTGAGATGAAGTTCTTCCCCCACAATCCCAAAGCAATCAGAAAGAGTCACCTAATCTCATTTATACTTGAGGACTGTTGATAAGATATATTAGGAACGAAACTCCTAAAAGTTTGGGTTATATTAAAAAGAAATACCACCACCCAGCCAAAGAAACTACTTTTACAACAAAACTAATCTCTGAGGATTTGATTTTTGAAAGTTGTTCTCTGACCTCTACACTTGTCATGTCATATTTGCCCCTCCTCTCCACATCATAAATATACCCAAGAACATACAATATATGAAGAAATATTGAAGACATTCTAAAGATAGAAATTTTCAAGAATGTCATTATCAAACTTTCTCAAGATGATTGGAAATATGCCTTTGGGTTAAGGACAGAGAACTTAATCCACAGGAATCTTGTCCAAAACAGAAACTAGAAGGAAATCTTGACAAGATAAGAAATTATAATTCACTGAGATGTGTTTACTACCATCTAGAATAGCCTGTGATTTAATAAAGCAACAAATAAATGATTAATCTTTTATTTCAGAGATGAATTAAATTCAAAATAACTAAAGCAGAAAAATATTCTTAATTGCCTAGTTTTTCATTTTCTAGTTTTCTTAAATATTAAGGAATATGTACAAAAATTAGATCAAACTGTTTCTGGTCTAAAAAGGATAATTGTTTATAGATAAGTAGGCAGTATTCTGATGAAAATATTTCTCTGAACACTTCCATACTGTTAAACTCAGAAACCTATATGCCTGTTTAACTACATTTTAAAGCATTATGCAAAGTATTAGGAATCTGGATTTATGAAGTTACAATATTACACAATCATTCCTTTTAACCTGTCCATCATTCTCTGTGTAGTTTTTTATCTCAGGTTTCAAACATTTCCTTTTGGAAGGAGGAGGTAATCTCAAAACCCAGAAGAAAGCTATAGGACTCAAGAAGAAGATCAGAATCTCACAAGACTCACAAAGTCTTTCCAAACTTTATATAAATAGTGCAGAATTTCTGTGGTGGGGTCTACCAGGGAGCAGAAGACTCCTCAGTGAAGCTCCCAGCAATCTGAGCAGTGAATTAAGTGGCAGAACATGGGTAAATATTCAGTCATACCGGAGTGGGCTTTACAATACATGAACAGTATCATTACTATAGTCTCTCACCTCTCTCTCGGGTGAATAGAAATAAACTCCCTAGTCAGAATGATGCCATCTCCTTATAGTCAATCTTATTTTTATACTTATGATACAAACATATTTAATATGACATTCATTATACTGAATAGTTTAAACTTAGTAAGGAAGAAAAAGTTACTAACAGCAAAAAGGCAGGATGGCAGAATTTGAACAAGTGTGGAATACGCAAAAAGCACAGATAATTTTCTAGCCTCTGTAATCTACAGTTGGTTTGCAACTATTAATGACCATAAGAGGATTGACTCCCTGATGTTTTGTTACTGCTAGATACTTGCAACATTAAAGAATACAGGAGTCCTTTGTCACATTTTTGCAACTACTGTGGTTGGAAATAGAAAGTACAGGTAGAATTACTTCCCTAACTGTTGTTATCTAGACCTCTGGCTACTGTCTGCATACTTGTTACATGTGTGGACACATTGAATCAGTGTGCATCTGGAGAAGATCCTAGTAAGGGTATTATATATATATACTTAAGGTTGGGAAGGACTACTTTAAGAATCCTAAGAGATCAGTTTTTCCCACAAGGATGCTAGACAGAGGATTTCACGAAGATGAAGACATGAATCCTTCATTGTACCCAAAAGGAAGATAAAAAAGATTTTGTTTCTTAAACAAGTTTTTCATTTCTTCTTATTTGTGTGTGTTAATACACATATACACACACCACTGCACAGGTAAAGGAAGTCAGAGAGAAACTTGGGGAATTCCACCTTGTGTCAAGAGGCTTTATACATGGAGACATGCTAGCCTCAAATAAGGTAATTATGTCAAATTGTGTGTGTGTGTGTGTGTGTGTGTGTGTGTGTGTGTGTATGCATGCATGTGTGCTTGCCTGCCTGTTTGTGTGTGTGTGTGTGTGTGTGTGTGTGTGTGTGTGTGTGTGTGTTACCTTGAGGAAGGCCAACTTTCCTGTGGGATCACAAACCACATATTTTATAAATATTTTCCTGTGGTACTGGAGATAGGTAAGGATACGAACATAGGAACGGATTGCCTTTGCCATTTCTTTATTGTAGACAGCAATGTGTAAAGACTGAAGCAGAGAACATAGTTAACATTTTGTAAGTAGACCCGAACTCCCTGGGTTGGCCCCTGATCCTGCTGCTCCTGTCTCCTGTCCCCATCGAGAGCACCCTTGGAGATCTGATACACCCCCACCCATTTCCACCGTGAGACTACCCCCGACCCTGTGCCCTACCATACCCATGGTACTGCAGCTCTGATTGAGCACTGGGAAAGAGGGTGGAGCCAACAGTCCACCCTACATTGGAGACTTCTCAGAGCAACTCTGAACAAAGGAGACCTGACTATCCATGTGGGACCACCAGTAATTTCCACCTGCTTGGTCTCTGACCCCATCTCCAGTCTTCTGCTGGAGTCCCGGGCCCCTCCCAGAGATCCGCCTATCTCTGTGGGAGCACTGTGAGTACCTTCTGGCATCTTCTACTGGATCCTCATCCTTGACACCATCCCTGGATCCTGTCTGCGGAGAAACCTCCTAGAGAGCTTGGACCACACAGAGCTACAGATATTGAATCTCAGACCCACCAGGGAAGTACCATAGATAGAGGGGGAGACCCCACCAAAACATAATGGAAGAAGCTATGGGAAGAAGACAATACAAGAAAACACCTAACAACAGAAAGACAAGCATGACACCACCAGAATCTAGGGAATCTACACCAACTAGAATGGAACACAACAACAAAGCAGAGGAAGCAGAAGGGAACAACTTAAAAATTACCATCACAAAAATGATAGAGGCCCACAAAGAAGATGTGAGAAAATCCCTTAAAGAAATGGAGGAAAAAGCAAACAAAAAAGTGGAAGAAATGAACAAATTCCTTAAGGAAAGTACAGAAAGCCTAGAAAAAACAATTAAACTGGTGAAGGAAACAGCTCAAGAGTTGAAAACTAAAATAAAGAAAATAAAGGCAACACAAACTGAAGGAATGCTGGAAATAAAAAACTGGGCAAAAAAATCGGCAACTACAAACACAAGCATAACCAACAGAATTCAAGAGATGG